GCTCACTTGCAGGTCGCTAGCTGTGATGCGGACCAGACCAATACTCTGCGCACCCTCAATCGCTCCTTCCAGCACTACGAATTATGCTGCCTGCTGTTACGATACATATCTTATGTGCCGCGAGCTAGCAGCGCGCTTTAGGCATATGTGATTTCGGTGTGATCCACGATCACACGGTGTGGCCGGTCGGCACACCGTTTATTTCTTCCTTGACGATCCATCCAATATATATTGAGCCAGCCCACGCAATCGGGATCATTAGTTTTTGCAGAGTTTGACTAGCTAGGTAGCTGATTATTTATTCCATAAACATCTTTAACTTGCTCCCATGCACGGTCCCACTACTCCGTCTAGTGTTAGCAGCCGTAGGTACGTGTGATTGATGGGAGTAGTAATACCACCAGTTATTTGAGCTGTGGTTATTACAGAGAGATACCAAAAGTCACGTACGTACTATATCCACATGTAGCTAGAGTACTTAGGTTAAAAGTTTAACACAGGCTCTTTAACTAACTTCCAGTTACTTTAATCGTGAGAAATCTGAGCAGATCCTGTGGCTTCAGCTAAATGTTACTAGCTCGTACTAGTACTCTCCTCCTAGTACAATGACACATGAGAGACAGAGTGAGTGAGAAAGAGAGGGAGAAGGTGTGGGACCGTGGGAGAGAGCTACTACTAGCGCGTAATAAAACGACAGCTTCGCATCATTAGCTCACGTATCAATATTCCGTGTGTGTCAGAGGCAACATGTGTCAACATGTCTAGTGTCGGGCTTTGTCGCAGTACTGGCTATGTGGCGCACATAGATGCGTGGAAGCTTTCTTTTCAACCCGCAGCAAGCTACTAGCAAAAGCTGGCTATACCCCACCCCAGTTAATTGGGCAAACTGTGTTACAGCGAGTACGAGTAATAATCAATGAGCCTGTTCAACACCATATATTCGCTTGGTTTATAAATAATAATTTTTAGTCAACGAACAATATTTTTTTTTATAATAAATCAATCAATAATACTTTGGCAGGGCTTTTCCACCAGCTTCAGGAGCCGTTTGGAGCCGTTTTCTACCAAACGGGGTAAAGTGAAATAGCTTCACTGGTGAAACCCCTAAAAACATGCTTTCATAATGATTTGGGGGTGGGATAGAACCAAAAAAAGTGGCTTCTCCCGGCTCCTCCTCCAGACCCCTAAAAACATGCTCTCATAGGGAAGCCATTTTGCCAAACGGTTTACCAAAACCGCTTCAGCTCCACCGGTAGAACTGTTCGTGGAGCTAAAGCAAAAAAAAAATGGCTTCACTAGTGAAGTGAAGCCCTGTCAAACGGGGCATCATGGCTTATCAGAAAGCCAACAAGATGCAATTCACCGTACGAGAAGGACCACACGCCCGGCTGGCCTTTGTCATAGTACGAACCGGCACCAGTGACGGATCGTTCTACTGTTCATTGATTGGTTTGGGTGATTTGATTTGATTTGGTGGTCTTTGGTTTGTTGTGAGAGAAAAATCTGGTTAATTCGCTATTTGGTTTGGTTTAATTTGAAACCAACAAGCAAAAACAAATTTGGTTAACCGAAAGGCAGCAGAACATGTCTATCGAAATTTAGTACTACCTCGGTCGTTCAAAAAAAAAAAACAATTCTTGATTTGTATATACTACTATAATAATATTATAATAATATATTAAAAATTATAGGCTTTTTTGAAAAATTTCCACGCAGTCAGATTTGGAGTATCTTAGAATGAGTAAATAAACATATACTCAAACTGATAAATAAGTATGCACACATACGCAACGTGGTTTATTGATGGGAGTAACTACTTCCGAGAGTAGAAAAAATGGAGCCAGACATAATATCTTTTATGGTTATATAAAAAAACATTTTTTTGTAGCAGAAGATGTTGATATGGAGGGATACCTTCTTTTAATAAAGAATGAAATGGTAATTTAGATACAAATTTCAGAGATTACGTAAAATATATGTCATGATAACAGATGGATAATTAGATGTAAATTTATGTTTACTTTCCATCAAGTTTGTTAATGCCACAGGTGGGGAATTTAAATATAGGTATATGCATTACTTTATGTTGTTTTACACAACACAAAGGTGGGTAATTAGTTAGGAAATAGTAGAATATATTCAATGGTTAGTAGATGTTTCTATATTTTTTTGCTATTTTTTGTGATTTATTTTTTTCTAGCGATCTTGTGAGGATTGCCTGGGGGCTCTATTGAGGAATTCTAGTTAGAATTTATCATTCTATTGAGGAATTCTAGTTAGAATCTATCATTTCTTTTTTTAGAGCGATATGTATTTAGTTGGAGGCTTAGATTTATCTTTCCTTTTTCTAGTGTGATACATAGATACTTCAAACCTAAGCTTAAGTTATACAAGCTCTTGTTATGTCACTTTCCGTGACATCATGAATCTATGGTTTAGCTTTCAACTTTAAGTCTAGTTGTAAAGTGGAAACTCTAGTGCTTATTGTATCTTTTAAAAGGTTATATTAGTATTTACACGTATATTTGAGAGATATTTTGTTTCTGTATTATAGAAAATGAGATGAAAATTTAGATACAAATGAAAATATGTTACTTTATATTTATCTTTCGCAGTGGCAGAGATAGGTAACCTACAGAAAAACATTAGAGGTTAACTTAATTATCTTCCAAAATGAAAATGGTCGGTAATTTAGATACAAAGTTAGGGAGTTATTTTTAATTATCTATTATAATGGTAGATGTGTGTAATTTAGGCGCTATTTGTTTTCCTGACGGTAACGGAAATGGAAAGGAAGCAAGGCATCAGCTTCCGTCTTGGGGCATGCGCCTCAGAAGATGCTGAGCAGAGGATGCCTCGTGTGCAGAATATGCGAAGCGGCGAAGAAAACACACAGGTAACGATTCACACTCTTGTGAGAGGGGTAACAAATTTCTACAGGCAGGAATCAAATCGCGGCGTGACCAAATCACCGATGGACTGAAACAAACAGGATCAAACGTTATCGGTTATCAATGTCGTGACCGAATTACGAATGGACTGACACACAGAATCACACATTATCTGTTACCGGCGTTATCGGATTATGTTACAAACTACGGGAACCAAACAACACGTTAGATACAAATTTAGGGGATTATTTTAATTTATATTTTATAATGGTAGAAGTTGTAATTTATTTACAAATTTATTGGTTATTTTGAAATGTCTTCCATATATAGTGACAAATGTGGGTAATTTAGATGCAAAATTATGAGGTTACTTTATATATTTTTCATAGTGACAGAGGTGGATAATGTTTTTTTATAAAGTAGAATAGATTCAATGGTTACTTGATTAAAAGCTAGATGTTTCTTATTACCGTGAGAATTTTTTGGATTTATATCTTTCTTCTAGCACATCTAGATATATAGAATTAATGTGGTAGGAGCCTCTTAGTAATAGTAAAATAAGATATAAAACTGTTTGACTTTTTGAAAATTGATAATTGCATTTTTTTTCGTTATACGGAGGAAGCATGATGGTAGGGGGCCAAGCGGTGCGAGAGCATATGCTGTGCTGCGAGTTATGAGCAGTGCACTTATCGGAGCCAAGCAATGTGAGATGCGTCGGGAAGGTTTGCCTTTACGCCAACTGCGTTGCCCGCCTTGATGGCACATGCGCAGTCGCCGCATACCGAAGCATGGACGCAGGCGGCAGGGGCTGGCCGTGGCCGCCTCTGGCCGGGGAGAGTTATGGCCTCTGCTTCTCCTTCCCTCTCCGGATAAAAAGAACAGATTCCTCGGGGGCCGGGGCGGCGAACCCGGCCTCCCCTCCCAAATCCGACGAAACGAGAGCAGCTAGCGCGGCCTGCAGCCAGCCAACCGCCGGGTGGGCTAGCTTTATTGCATGCCGAGACCGGCAAAGACGAGCGGCCAGGATGCCGAAGGCGCCAATAAATCGAGGCCGCCCTCCGGAAACGGCAGTCACTTCCGTCGAATGCATGGAGCCGGGGCGAACGACGGACAGAGGAAGAAATTGACCGATTAACCATTCTCGGTGCATGCGTGGCAGACTTTTCCCTCCTGCCTGCCTGCCTGCCTGCCTGCTGCGTACGAATGCCCCTGCGAGGCGAGCAGCATTGATTTCCGCCATGATGCTTCGGCATCCACTTCCATGGACACTTGCACAGGCTACAGCTCATGGAGTCACGTGGTCGTGTGCATGCATTGCGGTTCAAGTAACAGGAAGGATTCTTTCTTCCCCTCTCTCTTTCTCCAATTTTTTTTCTTTTTTCTTTAAAAAAATACTGGGACTGCTGCTGCTACTGGTACAGCCAGTAGCTAACGGAATTATGCCAAGGCCCAAGGGAGAGAGAGAGTAGTGTGTGAATGACTGCGGCGTGTGAGACGATCAGACGAGTGGTGGTGGAGCATAGTATGAATGTGGGTGGGCAGAGAGAGAGAGAGAGAGAGAGAGGATGGATGCAGTGCATGGGACGGGGCACGTTGGGGCCTGCTGCCGTGCTGGGCTGCAGCTTCGTCGCCCCTGCACTCTCCCATCTAATTCTATATACCCTCCGTAATCGCACCTCCCTAATGCTATCTTATGCACAGCTTTTGTCAAACATAGTTTTGTGCACACACATGCACTACTGGTACCACCATCTCTCTCTCTCTCTCTCTCCTCCCATCACCTCTATATTAATTACTTCGCAACAACCCCTTGCTCTGTTACTGGTGAATGGTGATCAAGTGACTGGAGCCCCCGAGAGCTCAGCACTATTTCTTCCCCCTCCTCACACCTCTCCCCCTCTCATCACTCCTTCCTCCATCCCCTCCTCCTCTCTCTTTCTCTCTCTCCTCTCCCCTCACACGCACTCACTCTCGTCGTCACTGAGACTAGCAAGGCTAGCAGCTACTAGCTCGTACTGGAACGAGCACTGTCACTTGCTCGTTTCAAGGAACCGCCCTGTGCCAACTAAGTAGTAGTACGTCGTACGGTTAGCTCTTGTGTTCGCGATGGCGTCGGAGTGGGAAATGGCCGCCATGGGGGTGGAGCTCGGCATGGGAATGGGCACGTACCACCACCACAACGCCTCCAGCATCACCACCACGCCGATGAGCAGTCACCACAGCGGCGCCGCCAGCTACTCCACGGCGCACCACCATCATTACTACGGGATGCCGCCCATGGGCGGCGACGCCATGCGCGTGGACGACCTTCTCGACCTCTCCACCGGCGCCGGCGCCCACGACTTCTTCCCCACCGCGGCGGCCGCCGCGGCCACTGACAAGGGGCACCAGCACCACTCGGGGGCCATGGGTGAGCCGTCACCCACCGCCAACTCGTCGGATCACCAGACGTCGCTTCTCTCCTTCGCCGATGAGTTCTACATACCCGTAAGTGTATATATACCAATTAAATAAATGAATGTGTTACCTACTGTACTTTGAGAGGTTTATTTCGATGCATGACACCGCTAGCGAAACAATATATATAATTGTGATATATATATGATGATTCAGAGCGAGGAAGCTGCCGAGCTGGAGTGGCTATCCAAGTTCGTGGACGACTCCTACTCCGAAATGCCGAATTACTCGTCGGCGGCGCATGCCGCAATGGCGGCGGCTGCGGCTGCGGCTGCGGCTGCTAACGCGGCAGCAGGCAATGGAGGAGGCGGCACCTCGGTCGGCGGTCAAGACAGCTGCGTCACCGCGGCGCCTGGCCGCGGCGCGCGTAGCAAGCGGTCCCGGGCCACCGCCGCGGCTGCCGCGGCGTGGCACTCCCTCGTGCCGCGCCCACCGTCGCAGTCGTCGCCATCGTCGTCCTGCTCGTCCTCGGACTTCCCGTCGTCGAACAAGCCGGGCGGTGCACGGGGCGCCAACGGCAGCCGCGGCAAGAAGAGCCCAGCGGGCCCTTGCAGTCCCGCTGGGGCGGAGGTGGGCTTGGAGGGCGGCGGCGTGCGTCGGTGCACGCACTGCGCGTCGGAGAAGACGCCGCAGTGGCGGACGGGGCCACTGGGCCCCAAGACCCTGTGCAACGCGTGCGGCGTGCGGTTCAAGTCCGGGCGGCTGATGCCCGAGTACCGGCCGGCGGCCAGCCCCACGTTCGTGCTCACGCAGCACTCCAACTCGCACCGCAAGGTCATGGAGCTGCGCCGCCAGAAGGAGCTCATCCTCATCCGCGGAAGCCACCGTGACGCCGCCGCCGCCGCAGCTGCCGCGGCGGCGGCTGCAGGATCCGGCGCCGGGCCGAGGCCGGAGCTCATGTTCCGTGACTACGGCGTGTGTTAATTAGCTGCATGCCCGGAAAGCTAAGGCAACCGGCCGGCACGGAGGAAGCTCGATCGCGTCGTGCATTGCATTGCACGCATGGAGCTTAGGTCCTTTTGCGAAATTCTGCCGTTTCTTCCTTTCTTTCTTTCTTTGCCTGTGTATTATTCCAGATATTTTTCATTTTCTCTTTTTGTTAATTATTAAATTGTTGGTACCTACTCTACCTCCTCCGATCCCTGCTTCTGAGTTCTATGAGAGATCAATGAATTCTGTTGGTATAAACTGTGATCGTTTGTGAGTAATTATATATGCTCCTAAAACCGTCATGTATCGAGTACACGAATGGTGATGATTGTGATTTAGCAAGCATATTAGTTATGGCACGGGTTACGTCCGTACTACCCCCACTGGTACGACCGGATTGAGCGCGTGCCGTCTTCTTAGTTGAGTGAGTGACAGATCCTCAACAAATTTCAAAGAAAACGAAACCATGTAAATACTTTGAATGTTCATGCATCGGTTTGCTCGTCATTGAATCCTTCACTACTACTACTGTCTGTTAAATTTTACCTGATGACATTTTTCTTTTTCAGGTCTCAAGCTGCATGTACGAAGTACTTTGCTCGATCGTTGGGTTGCAACAGCTTTCTTTGTGGTTATTACTCCTACTCCATGCTTCTTTTTCCTTCATCACTGGTAGTAGGTCTAAGCTTTTAACGGAGGAAACGGGAGATACATAGCCGAGAATGGTGGGTGGGCCAGCACGTGACTTGGCCCTATGGTGGCGGCCTTTTTGGCAGGGGAAAGAGTGGGCAACGTTCCGGTCACATGATAGTGCCTCCCCTCACCTCCTGCATATTATATTATTATTATGATACCATCACCCATCTTTTCCTTCTCTCCTCACTTATTAGCTAGCTAGCGTCATGCAACCGTCTTTCTCCTCGACTTTTCTCGGCGTTTGTTTTCTCCGTGGGGCTACGCAAAAGGCAGGCCGAGCAAAGCGGGCTCGGGGCCGAGCTCCTTGTGGCCATGGAGTGTAGGTGTGTGCATGCGACCTCTGCCGACTTCCATGTGGCCGTGGTCTCCGGGTGCCCGTATATATTGTGCCGCGTTTGGTTCGCCTGCTGCTGTACGCCTGCACTGCCCGTACTAAACAATCATGTTCCGTGTGTGCACAAAGTCGTAACAAATCTAACATGTAGTGTAGTTCTTTTACGGTTACGGACAGTATATTGTTGGTTATTACTAGCAAACATGCATGGGCTGGATTTAATTGAGCTTGTACAATCTTAAACAAATAAATTTCAAGGCCATAATATATGCTAGTGCAATATAAAGGATCAATCCCCTGTGGAAAATTGACACGATATTAACTCTACTTAAATATGCGTGGTTGTAAGAAAAATGACACCTAGCTAAGGCCATCATTGATTTTGGTGATCGAGTGACAAAATGATTTATTGGACTAATAATGTTGTGCGCTAGTATACAAGGGTTTTTTTTTTGTCTTGGAGACCTTAGAAGACAATCAAGAAGTCTAAGACATCAAGTATAAGAAGCTCGGACAAAAAGATGCGAAGAAATTAAGGCCAGGACAAAGAGATGGATGAATGGGCCTTGTCTCATTATTTTGGATCTGCTTAAAATGATATAATATATATCAGTCCAAAGTTCTAGAGCTATTCATTAGCTTTCCAACAAGTATAAGATCATCAAAATCTAAATTCATAGAGGAAAATTATGCCCAAAATACTAAAGTGTGTTGTGTTGAAAACTAAGCAGCTTGCGAAAAACTAGTCACAAAAAAAAGCAGCTAGCGGAAAACTTCGATGACCACTGTAAAGCTCCGGTGCTAGAACTCTTGTGACCACCGAAAGTATGTGTGACATCCATTCGTCCAACAACTAGTTTTGCCCACTGGAAAGCTCCGGTGCTCACTGCAAGTGTGTAATGACTAGTCTAAGTGCCGGTCACCTTAGACTCCGGTGATGCTCACTACATGTGTGTAATGACTAGTCTAAGTGCCTGTCACCTTAAACTCCGGTGAGGTCACTGAATCTTTTCGGTGCTCATTGCAGAAATACAATTCGGCCGTAATGGCTATATTTGGGGGATGGAGCCTATATATACCCACATACCGGGCCCATTTGATGTTGCTGGAGTGTGCTCAGGTTCTGAGAGCGTTGAGGCACATCAATTAGTGCTCTAGCTACCAAAAGTGCTTAAGAAAATATTAGATGATTAGCATAGTGCTTAAGCTAGTTAGACCACCATATTGGAGCTTTGCTCTAGGCTTATGCTTAGTGTTTAGTGAGATTTGCATACCTCTTGCTACTCGGTGCTTGCGCGCATCATTTTTGTACACTAGGGAGCTAGTAATCTTGTGAGATCATACCATCCGTGTTTGTGGTTTGGCCGCCTAGCTTGTATCGGAGGGAACGAGGCCCGCGATGTTTGATCCAGAAGCTCAATAGTGAAGACGACCGGCAACGGTCCGAAAGAGGCCATCTTAGAGACCCACTTGTGTGTGGGGATGGCCCGAGGACTATTTACAGAGTTACCCGACCGGAAGCTGGCCCTTACGAGGGGCTTCAACGAGGACTAGATGGAAGCATGAACTTCTCCATACCTCAGAAAAAAATCAATCGACAATGTTAGTTTGCATCTCTGGCTCATTTAAGCTTCCGCAATTGCTTGCTTTCCTAGGTTGTGTGCTTACCTTTCCTAGTCTGGCTTTGCTAGGTTAGTTGGTAGGATTGGAACATAGGTTGCATAATACTTTTGTGTTAGAGATAGCAACACTTAGCACTTTAATTGTGCATCTAGATAGATATCTTGCATAGGTTTTGATAAGTAGGTTTTTAGAGACCAAATTTTGTTTTAAGTTACCTAATTAACCCCCTCTTTGGCGCCACAGTCCCTTTAGTGGCTATTGTGTGCACTTGTTGTGAGTTTAAGAAGGATGGAAAGTGAGCCACATGCCCACACACGTGCGTCTTGATGTGAACGGGCTTGGGGTTGGAACGGGCACCACAATGTAAACGCCCATACTCGAAACTTAAAGCGAAGGTTGAGATCGAGTGAGAGATGATGGATGAGAAGGGGTGAGTGTGGAGTACATGATTGAGGGATGAACAAACGAAGGAGAGAGTGAAAGATGAAAGAAAAAAGTTTTGCCCTTTAATATTATGTGTATAGATTGGAACCCATACTCTTGTATCGGGCTACAATCTTAGAAGTCATAAGCATTAGATAAATTTGTGTTTAATAACTACAACTAACAAAATATACTTATATTTGCACGCTTTGTCTATTTATTTTCCAACATAATATGCATATAAATACTCTGTAGGTCCAGTTGTGCCTTTACACTCATGTGTATTTAATATGCATATAGTTGACACCTCGAATTAAGTTATGTTAGCTCTTGTTTTTTGAACCAAAACTTTGGAGCATAAGCTCCCTAGCGCTTTATGTAAGTGCATCTAGCCCTTTAGTGGGCTTTGGTGAATTGAATGACAACACCATTAAAGATCTAACAAGTTTGCTAAGTGTTGAACAGGAAATTGAGTTTATTACATACACTTGTGGATTGTGGAATGAGAAGTGTATATAGGTTCAACAAGAAGGAAAACTTGATGACATTCCACATAATGTTCAAATCAAGGCCAAATTGTGTATTGTTGTGTTGGAAGATTATGGAAACAATATAGTTCAATAAAAAGACAACAATGCAAATGGAGTTGATGAAATGGCTTCTATGCTGTGGGATATAATAGTATCATGAGAAAGCAAACATATTTGGCAAATGGTAAATGAGACATGAGTTGATGATTTTGGATTGGTCTCAATAATGGCTTGCTTTGCATGAATAAGAAGAGTTTGATAGTGGATTAGCTTTGATCAAGGATTGAAGAATGAGTCAAGAATGCATAAGTGAAGAAATACCAAGCAAAGGGTAAATGACAAAGGACACAACTCATATTGGATATAATTAGGTCTCTATGTTGGTTTGCTTGTATGGATAAAGATTTGGAAAATCACTTTGCATGAATTTGATCAAGCTAGAAGTATGAAGATAGACATTGAAGTGAGTGTTAGGAGTGTCAAGCCAAAATGAATAGGATATAAAGAATCGTGAATTGGCTTGACCATATTGATGTTGATTCATATATCTCAATCTATGTGAATCCAACTGAAGCTTGATTGATCTCAACATTCATATCTAGAAGATATCTAAGCAAGGATCACAATATTGAAGAAATGGTTTTTCAATGGATGCTTAATATGATGTGACTTGAGTATTGCTCGATAGAGTGAAGATAGCAAGGAAAGAGCTTCAAGGAACTAAGCGAAGGTGAAGGGCAAGCGATGGCTTGAGGACCGAGGTACCATGGCTAAGGTGAAGAAGAGAGTACTTGCATTGAGTCGAGGAACTAATCGAGCTATGAGGAGTCATATTGTGTTAATGATCAAATCATTAGTAGAAGTGACTTGAAGCCATGAGGTGAACTCATATATATGGAAATGATTCAAGTCACATGCTCAAGGTATGTTTGCTCAAAGAGATAAGACAAAGTTGATTGCAACCCCTGATAAAGCGATTTGAGAAGAAATGGCATATGAATACATTATAGACTTAAGTGGTTGAAATTGTTATATTCTCTTGATCTTGAGTATAGGTATGCTGTACTATCAAGGGGGATGCAATACGAATCATAGACAAGTCTCAAGTGCTCAAACTAACCGAACCCAAGTGCTAACATGAGAGAAACACATTGGCACAACACCTGAACTTGTTGATCTTGGGGCTTGTTCTTGGCTGGGATAGGTAGCCCTAGAAACAAGCTTTCGAAAAGTCCAAGATCACTGAAAATGGAGTTCGGAGTAAAAAATTATGGCATTTTCCATGTGGTGACCTGTCCTGTTTTTCAGAGCTGCGGCATGCCGCGAATTTTCGCAGCAGTGCTGCACCGCGGCAGTGCCGCACCTGTACAGGTCATATTGGCTAGTTT